TTTACTGGCTAAAATCTCCCTCACAGAGAGTGCCGTGTGAACTGGTGCATTGTCGTGATGCAAGAGCCATGAATTGTTGGCAAAAAGTTCAGGTCGTCTAACTTTTTCACACAGACTTTTCAGCACTTCCAAATAGTAACCTTGGTTAACTGTCCAGTTGGTACAAATTCATAATGAATACTCCCTCTGATATCAAAAAGGTTAGCAACATCGTTGCAACAATTTTGTGAACTTAATTGTCTGACCTCATATATATAATCACATCCTAATTAAATTAGTTATGTGCCTTATAGTTAACAGTAGACAAGTAAATATAGCTATTAAAGCTTTAACATAATTGTCATTTTCCAGCTATGTACAATTTTTAACATTGGATGCAATGTGTAACATATAATGCGGATCTTTGTAATGATCTGCCCCTTATTTATTCAAACTCACCTGGCTCTCATCGTCATTATCACCTTCACGATCCAAATACCAGAGTTTAATATCTTGAAAGTTATAAAAGTGCTTTCTCATTTTTGCCTCTCAGTTTCATGTTGTTTCTATACTGTTTGTAAAACTGAATTGTGTATGTGGTCTGTTATTTCATTCTCACATTTGTTTATATAAATCAACATTAAAATTTTCACATGTGAGTGATTTTTGTATTATTATGATGTTCTTAAATTGGTTACTAATTTTCGTTTTGCTCTTTCCCGACCTCCTACTTATATGTTGCTTAAACAGAGTGACTGGCCAGAAGGGTATCAGCTTGCATCCTTGATGAATTTCCGCTTTCCCCAGTGTGTTCCTATAAACTTAAAAACTCTAATTCCTAATGCCAGTAATGAAGCTATTCAACTTATGACGGAAATGTTAAATTGGGATCCAAAGAAACGACCAACAGCAAGCCAGGTAAAATAAATCTTCCTAGGATACTTTTTTTTTAAATATTGAGGATTTACAATATCAAGGATATTTTCATTTGCAAAGATAAGTCTATTCTCAACCAGGGTTTTAGCAAGACAATTAAGCCCGAAAACCTTAAGGCACCCAGTGTGTAATGAATTAAGATCCTTGGGAAAAATTGCAAAAATAGACGACACTCCAGTGATTTTTCTGTGTTTTGTGATTCTAATGAGTAATCCTATGAAGTTGAGGCTGAAAGGAATAAGTCCCTAACGTTAAAAATCCAGGCATGTGACAGGCTAGTCAGGAAGAAATTTGTCATGGGTAGGAAAAAGGCATCTGTCTGATAATACAATGTATGTAGTAGATTTTCCGACACTTTCCTTATGGTTCGAGGTAGATTCTTGTTCACTCTTAGGCGCCCACAAGAGGGCAGCACGTGGCACTCATGCTGGGCTCCTTTGTGACAAACCTTACTTTGTATCTCTTCTCATGGTCTTTAGAGCATCATGGTTTTAAAGGAAAAACATGGGCTTTAGTTAAAAAGGGCTTAAATTAAAAAGTCACAATAAGATTTACTGTAGTCTTCTTATTATTTAAATATAAATTCAGTATTAAAATTACCAAAAAATTATTTGGTTTTTTAAAAATTGAACTTGAGAAAATGTTTTATAAAGGTCATATGGTAGAAAAAAATGGGAAAGATGGGTCAGAACAGGTTTGAGCAAAGATTAGTAATTGGAAGATGGTGGTAGAGGCGAACAGCTTGCCCTGTCAAATATGAAAATAATCTGTAAAGTGATAGTAATGACAACAGTGAAAGTACTAGCATAAGAATGATAAACAGCTCAGAACTGCAAAAGCTGTAAATCGGTATCAGGTAACAT